ACAGACCAAAAACATGCATGTTAGGCTGATTGGTAACTCTAAATTGTTCCTAGGTGTGAGTGAGAGAGTGAATGTTTGTTTGTCTCGTTTGTCTCTATGTGGCCCTGTGATGGACTTGCGACCCGTCCAGGGTGTACCCCGCCCCTCGCACAGTGATTGCTGGACATGGGCACCAGCGACCCCCGTGACCCAAAATGGAATAAACGGGTAAAGATAATGGATGGATTATTAACATTAACATTATTAATATTATTAACAGTAACATTATTAACAGTAACATTATTAACAGTAACATTATTAATATTATTAACAGTAACAATATTAACATTAACATTATTAACATTAACATTAACATTATTAATATTATTAACAGTAACATTATTAACAGTAACATTATTAACAGTAACATTATTAATATTATTAACAGTAACATTATTAACATTAACATTATTAATATTATTAACAGTAACATTATTAACATTAACATTATTAATATTATTAACAGTAACATTATTAACAGTAACATTATTAATATTATTAACAGTAACATTGTTTTAGTCTTCTTTCATCCAGAGTGTCTCTCACTGCTTTAGGACTCGTGCTGACATCTTTAGCAGATTATTTAGAAGCTGTCCTGTTCTGCCAGCATCAGAGGCAGAACACTTTGAAATAAAGTCCACAACTCTTTTTGGTACTGCAGATGTTTCCATCAGTTCACTTCCATCTTCTGCTCAAATACTGTGAATGAGTCGACTTTAACTATTTCTCTTCTCTAAACTGAAGAGTTTAGAAGTCCTTTTCAACATTTTAAAAAACGTAACGAACTAAAGCCCCCTGTGCTCAAGAGTCAGAGTCAGATCAGCCAGAACAGTCTTTTTCTCAGTCTCAGGTCTCTCTTGTAAATGAGTCCCCGAGGCTCAATGGAATTAAACTGTATAAATAAAGGTTGAATGAAACTTTCTTGTTGAGAGTCTGAAAATGACCTCGATGTCCTGTGGACCCTCTCACATTCAGGAGATACACTGTGTCCGTTTCCAGAGCTGTGTCCCAATCCAAGGCTGCATCATTCAAAGGATGCAGCCTTGGATTGGGACACAGCTCAGATTTTTTACTGTCTGAATGTTTATGAAGCGTTCTCTCTAGTGTGATCCAGTTTTCTTCCGTAAGTTTTTTGGCACATTTCTCATCTCGTACTTTTGAATCTATTTCAACAAATCATAAATCAAAACGTCCAGCTCTTTCAGGACAATCCTGTTAAGACTTTTGGTATTGGTGCAACTTTAGCTGTTTGAACTATTAGCCTTTACTGACATTTTATTTTTCTGATAGAAAATTAATTGAGCTCATTTTTCATCCTTCAAATCTGTCTGTCTGTTTACAACCTTTTACGGCTCCTTTAACATTTTGTTCTGGTTCAGCTTCTTTCAGCTTCCTTGTGCAAATAAAAAAAATTCAGCTAATTTCAGCTGTTTTTCAGCTGTTTTGTGCTCCTTTCACATTCTTTCTGCAAGTTTTAGTTATTTCAGCTGAAATTAGCTGTATTTATGCTAATTTTAGCTTTTTCGACTAATTCCACATTTTTTGCACCCATTCAAACATTTTTCAACCTAAATCAGCAACAGTGTGCTCTCTCCACTTCCTTCTTGTAATTTCAGTTTCTTTCTGCCTTTTTTGCTACTGTTCAGCTTTTGTCCAGATAATTTCCACTTCTTAATCATCATTTCTGCTTCTTTCAGCCTAATTGGGTAAATGTGTTCTTTCTGCTTTCTTTTGCTGATTTAAGCTGGTTGTACATTTTCAGCTACCCTGATGCATGCTCAATAATTTAGGTAGAAAAATCTAAAAATATCTAAAAAAGTTCAGTCTGGTCCTCTGGACATTTAAGAAACAAAACAAACAAACAAAAAAATGTAGAAACATTTTGTCTTTCATCCGAGAGACTTCCTCAGTCTGAGATGCTGTATTCAGCTCAGTCTCTTAAATATCACCTTCTCAGAGTGGATCAACCAGTTTTGCTGCTGACAACCAAAACCAGCTGATCACATGCTCAAGAAGGACCATCAGCCTAACAATGGATCATTAGCACACTGATGGCTGTTTACTATTCACAGAGGGCTGAGTGATACTAGCAATCTAGTAAGAGGGGGACAGTTGAACCCGGAGGCCTCCACCCCTGTTTAATGACGGACGATTTCT